TTAAAGATATTGTAGAACAAAGGCTAAAAGCATCTTGAGCTCATGTGCTAATGTATACACTGCACAGAAAATGGAAGAAAAGCACTGAATCTGCTAGTTTATGATCAGGTTAGATTAACAAAACATGTGGATGAGCCTACTTACTAATTAAAAATTAAGTATATTTTTCTTGCATCTGTTTAGTATAATGTTTATTTTAAAAGGGATGTATGGAATTTTGTATGGCAGGGCTTTACATCACAACAAATTGAAGGTAGTATGTTTAGCTTGCCACTCTGTCTCTTCCCTTGCTCCCAAAAGGAAAAAATAAAAGCTGTACTAGTTGAGTTCTGCAACAGTGGTTCTCTGCCCTGGATAAATTTAATACATGCACTGTCAGTAAGATATTTTAATCTTGACTGATGAACGTGTTGTAGGCCATCAAGATAATCTGTTTGCAATAGACATTAATAAGTTTTTAGTGAAACAGTGACTTCTGTCAGTTGACTTTGAAATAGTGGTGACTCTGATATCTACCCATATGTCATAAGGAACAGTTTGTGCAGTGTTGTATACCTTGTCCACACTTTTCCATCTGTGCTTAAGCAGCAGCTAGGGTTCTTTTTTTCTTTTGTTGTGGAGAACTCTTGTTTTTTTTTCTTATTGGTAAAAACAAATAAACAAAACTTCAGACTAGACCTGCTCCCCTGTTCTTTTTTCCAGATCATGTATATATTCGTCAGAGGTTCCCAATTCCCATATCACATTATTTTTCTTCTTCTTCTTTCATATTATTGAAATAAAATAGCTTCTCTTTGGCTTGTCTGGGGAGTTTCTTCCTTTACCCTTTCTGAGGTAGTTTGTTCTAGATTTGTTGTGGAAACTTCAGGTTTCTTGGAGCCTTTGGCATGATGCTCTCCTACAAATCCCCTTTGAGTTTACAAACTGCCAGCATGTCTTTGTAGGGCTCTCCTCTCCATTTTTTCCAAGCCTCTGGTCTCCCCTTTTTTTGGTGGTGCAAGTGATCTCTCTCTAAATGGAGATCCCTTCCTGTTTTAACTTTATCAGATGCCTTTTTCTCTGATATAACCCACAACCTACACCTGAACATCTCTGAGGAGGCAAACAACTGGGCTAAGAAAAATAGTCTGAGCACAGATTCCTCTAAATGGTTAGTCTCTGCTTTGTTTTTTAAAAAAAAATTTAAAAAATCATGATGATTATGTGATTATGAAGCCATTTTGGGCAGTGCAGAGCCTTTCTGAGCTTGTTTTTTGTTTTCAGTCAATCACAGCTTGAATAGTATGGCTTTAGAGACTTAGTGTATCTGCTTCACTCAGGTCTTGGATGAGAGCCAATTGTCTGCCACTTGATCTGTACACAACGTAAAATTATTCAAAGTGGGCTGATAAAGTGCATGGAACAACTGGGGGGCTGGTGATGATACTGCTGCCCATAACTGAATTTATTGTTATTTTGTAGCTTGGTAAATATATTGTATTAGCTGCTGCTTTGGGATTTGCAGGCACTAATTTTCATTCATTTTCATCTTTTTTCAGCCACAGTGTTATGATCTATTCTTCTGGATGTGGTTCTACTTACAGTGCCGTCTTTTTGTTGCTTCTGAAATTAGGACAGTCCAAAAATCTTCCGTGAGAACATAAGTGCTTGCTTGCTAAGTAGAGGTTCACTGTATGTCTGTGTGCTGATCAATATAGTTATCTAAATAACTCATAAAAGCCATTAAAGGTGGTTTTCTTTGAATCTGTAATGGGTGTTGGTCCTGAACAGCCAAGCATTTACCTCTGTGCTGCAGCACTTGAGGTCAACCAAAAGTTGAAGTGTTAGCTCTCTGTGTCAGGTTGGTGGGGCTTGAACCAAGAGGCCTTCAGGAAGAGCTGCTTGGTTGTAAAACTTTTCTTTTTCTTCTCCCCCCCCCCCCCTTTTTTTTTTTTAACTTGGACTTTAACAAATATTACTGTAATTTGCATTCTTCAGGGCTGCAAAGGCTGGCTGAGTGGGTGGTAGGGTAACCACAATTTGGAGAGTTTTTCTTTTTTTTTATTTAGACTTGGGATGCAACTTGAATGTTCTAATAAATTCTGTAAATGAGCCCCAATTTCTGGATATGTAATTTATAAATAAGGGATAACATTGCTGTTTCTGCAGCCATTTTTCTCTTCTGTCCTAAAAGGCACTTAGTGTAAAACTCATTTGTCTTATTTTGGTGATATTATTTCCATGATAAGTTTTGTATGAGGAGTGATAATGGTGGTATCAGCCTGACCTTGGGGGTGCAGTATGGATGTGTAAAGGTACAGATTTGCTTTTAAAAATGAACGAAATGGGTCCACTCGCAAAAATCTCAGCTGAGACAAAGATAGGTAAATCCCAAATAAAATATTTCAAATTGACAGGAGAGAAGCAGAGAGGGGAAAGAAAGAAAACCCCCAAAACCTTGTGATGGAAGCTTTATCAGCTTGTGGAATGGAACACTCATTAATGATGCTAGTTTTTTTTTTTTCTGTGAAGTCTCATTTTATTTAAATTCTTTTTGCTATATTAAATAAATCTTTGTTGCCACTTTGTTGCAAATAGTAAAACTAAATTATGTGGTGGAATGCCATCAGAAGGAAATGCCTTTGTGCATATCTTAGAGTATCCAGGGACTTCAAGTTTGCAGTGAAGTAACTTATATCTTGGATTTTATTTTTAATATCTTGTAGTGTGTTGTTAGCAATAAAGTATAAGTGTAATAATCTCTAGTCATTCATTGAGAAGCCTATCTGGAGGCTTGCTTATGGAATGGGTCAGTTGATGACTTTATTCCAAGCTCTGTGGATTTTGTTTTGCCATAAAATCCTGCCTTGTTAATACCTGTTTATGTAATCCATTTTAAGTTTTAACAGGGTTAAGCATTTTCAGAAGTAATTAAAAAAATTGTTGGATTAGGAGATTGAGGACCATATTTAGTCAGTCAGTGTCGAGGATCTGTGGTAGGGGAAATTATCTTTAGTTTGCACCTCCAAGTTGTCAATTTTATCTCTGTCCAAAAGTGAGGGTAAGCAACTGAGAGAGCTGCCTTCTAACATTCTTTCATACAGAGGAGGGGTGGGGGGAAGAAGTAGAGTACTAAAGGGATAAGCTTTCTCTACAAAGCTGTCCAAAGCTTTAGTCTCCATACCACAAAAATTTCTGTGGTGTAGCTTTTCGCTTTTAGTACTGACAGCACAAATGTGTTATCACAATGTGTAACAAAGCATCCCTGTTCATATTGAACCATACTGGGTCAGAGTATGAAGAGAGAATGTGTAAGGAAATGCAGGTGTGCTGGTCTTTAAGGAAAAGAAGTACATACTTTCTTTTAACCTGTGTAATATCGAGTAGTCTATATTCAGAGACTTGTCAAAGCAATTTTTTCCCCTGAATTTTCTTAAAGGCAGTCTCTTTCACAGAAATATTTTTGCAATGTTCTGAATACCTGGTTGAGTCCTGCAGTAGATGTTTTTGATCACGCCATGCCACTGTTCTTTGGTCTATTTGATCTTTTGCACTGCCTTCATACAGTTTAAACACAAATTTCCCAGCTGCCAGGCTGGACATTCCTGCGGCAGCTGAACTTTTGCCTGTGTTGGGACGTGAGTCTGGGTGGGCAGAGAAGTCATCTGGTAGCTGTGACTGGAGAAGCACCAGCTGCCTGGGATGGGCAATGGTAAAGGAAGTTTTGCGTGGTCCTTGCAGTCGCGCAGCGGACCTGGTTGTGGACACATGGAAGTTTCACAGACATGTCTTGAAAGCTCTGAGAAACAACTACTTTGGATGCGAGAACTGAGATTCTTCTTGGAAGCTTCTCCGGTCTGTATATTTTGGGGAGAACAAGTGGCATACGCTTAACCAGGTGATGATCGCTGCTGACTTGCACCCCTCCACCAGAGCACGAGGGTGATAAAGTCGTTCAAGTAGCAGTAACAATTTTTTAACTTTGGTAAAAAAAGGAAGAAAAAAATCTAGTTTCTCTTCTTTCTCCTGTTTTCAGAAATTTCTGAGGCTTTGTGTGTGAAATATATGTAAAGAAAGAAGAAATAAGTCAGGTTGAAGCTCTCCTGTCCTAGAACGGTTAATCCCTAATTGCTGAAGTTTACTTGGGTTGTAGACAAGCGGACATAGTCTTAATGTTGCACAGGTCTTACCAGTATTTCCATAGGTGGCACTACGATCTCCGGCGAGGATAGGATCTTAAAACGATGCTGGCATCCGTGACATTATTCTTTGGGTTTTTTTGGGTCACAAGCCTCTTGACTCCAGAGCTCCTGGTGAATTCACTTTTCGGCTGTCTCTTGTGCTTCGACGGGCTCTTGTGAAACGAGTGACAGACGGCACACGGGTGCATCTGCCCTGCGGTAGCGGTTGGCCCGCGTGTCCGTGCGGGGCTGCCCTGCCAGGCGCGTTCTGTTACGGCAGCAATGGGGTTTCAGCCCAGGTTAGCCGGGCGGGTGTTTCCGCTTAGGAATTAATGGATACTAATAAACCGAGGGAAAATGGAATACTACTTTCAAAGTATATTTGGAGTCTCTTTTGTAATTTATAGTGTATATATATATATTTAGGGACAGGGCGCTGAAAAATAAAATCCAGGTATGCGTAGCGTTTTCCATGTCTGACTTCGAACCCGCGCATGAAAGTAGTGATTTAATACTTCATTCTTTGTGACAAAAATGATTCAAAGAGCCATATTTTTCAGGGCTTTTGATCTGAAGGTTTTCGAGGGTGTCCAATACAGCTTAGACAACCAACCGGGAGGACAATCCGTGCCATAAACCCTTTGTTTCGCCTTGTCCCCCTCAGAAACTCACCTCCGCGCCCCGGCCGGCAGCGGTGGCGGGAGGACCGGCCCGGTCACCGCGTCGGCTCCCGCGCGGGAGAGGCGACCTCCCCCCCCGCGCCCCCCCGCCCGCGGAATGGTTCCGCCCGCCGCCGTGCCCAGTCATGTGCGCGGGCCGACCCGGCCCGCCGCCTCCCGCCTCGTCCCCTCAGAGCGCGGCTGGGCCGGCCCTCGCACGAGCACCGTGGCTCCTGCGGCCTCCTTCCGAACAAAAGGGCTTAGGGAAACAAAATCGTTTGGCTAATAAGACTTCGGAAAGCGAGGGCAGGCGGTCTCGGTTGTGAATATTTTCTGATTTTTCCAGAAATCAAGCAGAAGATTGAGCTGCTGATGTCAGTTAACTCTGAGAAGTCGTCCTCTTCAGAAAGGTACAGCTGCATCTCTTGCATGAACGATTCATGGTGTAGCATTGCCAAGCAGCGGCGCAGGGCTTTTTTCTTTTCCTCGGCAAGTTTGCTAGCATTGTTTACGTATTGCATGCTGGTTCTTGTACCGTATCCGTTGAGCCTCTCTTTTTGGTTAAGCTTTGTGCGTTTTTGCAGAGATTAATTGATTTCTTTTTTTAATGAAGCCTACTGGGCTGCAGCATGCAAATCGTACTACAGCAGGCTGCTGGTTTGTGTGTGCTGGTGTTGCAGACCTTGCTCCTTTTCACTGTCATGCAAGCAGCATCTCGATTTCTAAATTCGTTTTCAAAGACCTCGCGTTTTCGTTGTGTTGCAGGAAGCCGTTCCACGGTTGCAAAGGGTTCCTTTCAATTTAGATGCGTAGGAAATGTAACTTGGTGAAGCGTTTCATGTCCTGTTATGTGGAAAGGGAGTGTCCTTTGCAAAGTAGCTCAGGAATCGCAAATCCTCCAATTAGTCACATTCTGTAAGATAGATGTGATCCTTGTTCAAGTCTGTGCTAGGAAATGGAGCAGTCGCTGCATGCAGTAATGGTTCATGCCTGCAGGTAAGGACAAAATGACTCAGAAGTGTTTTTAAAGCAATTATTTTATCTGTCAATCAGATTATTACCATTTCAAGTAGCTGTTTCATTTTAAAGAAATATTTCGAGGTACTAAACGCACATTAAGTTTTCTGATGTGAAATAACCTCCTGCTGATTATTTTGTTGATTTTAAATGATCCAGCCCTGCTTACTTTTATTTTGCTTGTGACTGAATTTTAGGAGAGATTTTTATTTTCAAAATCGCTTAAATCCAGAGCAGCATCCCCCCTCCCCTCAAATTATTTACAGTAATCATTTTGGCTGTATGCAAAAGACTATCCAAATGTTCTATTTTGCTATTTTAATATTGAACGTTGGCAAAAAAAAATATTAATTTTAAGGACTCAGACTGTATGTTTAGCTGAAATTATTATCTAAAGTACATTTTATTGAATGGCTTAGCATAGAAGGACATAATGCACTGAAAGCTATCTTAAGGAAACAGGCTAAAAGACCATCCTTCAAAATGCTCAAGTGCTGTGTGGCATGCATGGTTTTAAAAAACAAAATGAGCAGTTTAATTTAATTTGTAAGTATATTTGTGCAAGATATGTAGAAGCAAACTGCATTGCCTTTCACTAGCAGTAGTATAACAAAATATCAGCAATGAGAGATACAGAAAATGGTGGGGGGGAATGGGTTGTTAAGTCACCTTTCCAAAATGGAGAAATATAAGAGGAGCTTTGAGAGATATTTTATTTATTTATTTATTCAAAATCAAGACTCATGAAAGAAAATGTTAATTTTTGTTTGTTTACCTCTATCCCACCCTGATGCCTAAAATTTTTAAATACAAGACTAATAAAATGGTGGTGATAACAGAGAGGATGATGGGGTGAAAATAGTAAAGGAAACAGGTGTTAACTTGATTTTTTGGAAGGGCTTTTGTTGGCATTGCTGGGAGGGAATTCTGTATATAATGTAGATATTTATTAATATGAATGTTATGCAGCACCCTAAAAGTCATCAGTCTGTTTTTGAGCAAACATGCTCATAGTTGAACTAATGGTGTTCCTAGATGAATAGGTCCCTGTAAAGGATTATAACACATAATTAGAAAAAGATGCATTTGTCTGAGATCCATTTAAATGCCATTCATTAAAAAGTAAGATTTTGTAACAGCATGATGCATTATCTTGCAATAAGATTAAAATGTGAATGTTGTATATGCACATAGATTTCTTTTGAGGATTTAAATATGTGGTACTGTTCACCTGGAGATTGATTTGACACATCAGCTGCGCAATTTACGTAGTCAATTATAAATGAAAACAACTTAATATATCTGAGGTTTTGTTTTTTTAATAACCACATTCTTTTCACCTATCTAAAAATAGACTGAATTTTTTTGCAAGCTGTTATGAAACAGTGCTGTCTATCCTATTAGCTGCCAGTTCCTTTCAAGGCCTTTTCAAAATTACTGTATAAGATGTTTTTAAAGAAAAAAAAAATTATAGTATTGAGTGTCTGAACTGCTAAACTGTCCTCAGTCTGCTGTATAACAAAATTGCAGTGTGTGTTCATACCATACAGACATGAAAATATGCGGAGTTGGTTTTTTTTGACAAACACAGAAAGGTAATTCATACTTGCTTGTTTTTTTTATTATCAGTTTTTACCCTTGCTCCTAGTGGTTGGACTTTTTGAGAAGCTTGAGTTCTCTGGGTGGAAATGCTGGGTGGAAGATCTGAAAGAGTCCATGGCTTGTTTCTTGTTTTCCACACTAGCAGAGGCTGCTAGACAGTGCTTGCATAGCAGGAGGGGAGGGGAGAGGAGGTGCTCTGTGCATTTACAGAAACTCATGAAATGGGAATAGGGAAGGAGAGAGAAGCCCTTTACTTGCCTCTTTCTTTGGTTGGTCTTTATTTTACAAGGCAGTTTAGTGTTTGTAGGTTTTCCTGCTCGCTTGGCAAGTTCAACGTGTTACCCTCTCCTAGAGAAAAAAAAATGATGAGAAGGAAGCTGGAATATAATGGATGGTTTGGCTGTTGTGGAAGCTCAACATGTTAGAAAATCCTGCAGCATTCTCTTAGGATAGTTGGTTGTTTTGTTTTTAAGAAGCTTTTAGGAGACATTAGCAAGAAAGTGAGATGAACCCTTTTATTGAGGAACCTCCGAGATGTTAAAGACATTGCAGTCTTGAAAGTAAATTAATACAAACCTGAGACATTTTTTGTAGTGAGATTCATCTTTTCTCCCCCCCCCCCGAAAAAATGTAATTGCAGATGGAGGGGATAAGATATCTGTCTTTTGGTGTGTTATGGGATATTTCATTAAGCAGACACAATCAGACAGCATCTTCAAGTCCTAAATTTCTGAGTAGTTAATGCTGCCCGTGTACGTGTTAGCAGCCTGTGACAAAGTCCTCCTTCCTTGTTGATAAGGTAACCCGGGTAACTACAGATGCGTTTGTGCACATGGACGGTGACAGTGGATCAGGTAACCTACTGTAGCTTGTCACACTGAATTGATTTGTTTGGATGTCTGAGCTTTAAGTATAGCATGGAAGTGTTTTCCCACAGCATGCTTACCATGTGACACACTCCTGGTTTCTTTATCTAATAAGTAGTAATTTAACTACCATGTACCCCCATGTTCTTTATGTTTCAGTGGAGGCTGCATGAGGTTACTTGTCCAAGCCTTGCAAATGTCATTAGAAAGCAAGTAGCAGCAGCCAAACAGAGGAGGATGGTCTTTCAAGAACCCTCCAAGAAAGCAAAAACTTTCATTTCTGTTGTATGAGTTAGTCTTCTCCTGTACAGTATAGTCAACCCTTTTGAGCTCTACAGATTTTCTTTTTTGCCTTTTTAAGGGCTTTGTGGAATTCCTTGTAAGTTTCTGTTTCATTTTGAGAAAAGTAATTTGTTCCACCTCCATCACTTTCTGCTCTTTAGACTGCAAACCTAATGTATATAGTATTTTTCATATTCTAGGACAAATGATTGGGTATTTTTTTAGCTCTGATTTTGGATTCTAAATTTATGTCATCTTAGCAATGCAGTTTGACCACAGGGTATTTACTGGTAAAGGTTATTTAGCAAGGCTGGTAAGTCTGAAGTATTTGACCTACTCTTTTCCCGTCTTTCCACAAAGGCTGCATATGCACATTTCTTTGAAATGAATTTCTGCTTCAGTGTTTTTAAAAAAAAAAAATAATAGCAGCCACTCATGAGCAGTCTTAAAGTAGATAACAGGTGTGTATATAATTCAGTTTTAATGATTTTGAGGGGTTTTATAAATAGCAGTAAAGGGAAGATACTTTCAAATGACAGTAGGACAGCAAAGTTTGTGTTATTCAGTGTGTAGAAGTATTTACACTGGAGTGGTGCAGGCAAGGTTTAAGGACAACTGGTTTCAGTTTTGTTCTGGTTAGGGTTTTTTTTTTGGTTGGATTTTTTTGTTTGTTTTAGCCTTGTGCTCTGTGTACCCCTCACTCTTTGTAATTTATCTTTGCAGAGCAAGTTAATGTATTTCTCAGTGCTTTTACGTGGTTTCTTCATCAGGTCATGCCAAGAATGCAGTCAGGGATAAAGTGAAGGAGGAAGAAATCTTAAATTAATGAGGAGGAAGAAAAAAGAGGGAGGCTGAGTACTGTCTGCTTCCTTTTCTAAGAGACCTAATATTGATATAAGAGGCATTGTGAAACAATTTATGATCCTGAAGGATTCCTACCGGTTTAGGAACATGTGGAAATTTTTTCTTCTGTTTGTTGTTGTTGTGTGTTTTTTCTTTTTTTAATTTAATTTAATCATGGATGCACTACTCCTAAGGCAGAAGTGTCACTTGTAATGAAGTACAGGAATAAAACACATGTTTAAAAGTAGAAGAACCATCAGCTCAACATTCAGTGTGAGCTGACATTGCTGTGTGTCACATGAATGTTTTGGAGTAATTATTAGATAATAGGGCATTATAAGATAATTCTATTGTTATTTATGTAAGTAACATTGAAACAAAAAATAATTATCAGAATAATGCAACTATTTTATCAGTTCCACTAACTTTTAAACACGTTTTTAAAATACCATCTTTTCTTTAGCTGTCTTCCCAATTTTCTTTTTTTTTTTTTTTTTAGTGTAAAAGAAATTTTGCCTAACTTCTATTTCAGGGCAACTCAGATTTATTTTTAGTAGTCATACAACTTCAATTTTTCAGTTTTCTTTATATAATATATGATAATGATGAACAGTGTATATTTTTTCCCCTTTTTTCAAAATTGCAAGCTAATACTGCTATTTGTTGTATTTTATCTCAGAAATAAGGAGGAAATCATGCTATCTTAATGTGGGCCCTAAGCCATTTGTCCAGGGAGGCACTTCATTCCACCACCAAACTCTGGTGACAGTGTGCCTGTATAGCTCTCTTACACTAGATAC